CAAACGACTACAGTTTTGGGAGAACAGCTCAATTCTGTGTAATTACCTTTACACCAATAAAAGCATTTGCATTACTTTTGTTTTTATATAATCTAGCAGAACAGGATTTAGAACTGGCAATTTAATACAGTAACACCTGAAGTTTTAAGTGACTGACTGAAAAAACCTTATATGAAAGAAGTGTAACTAACTGCCCACTACTCCGTTAAGTTTTAGTAGTTTACATTACTTTCCCATGGGATTTTTTCAGTCATTTATAGTTCATTGCTTCATATGGCTATAGAATCCCTGCTGTGTTAAAAAATGCCAAGTAAAATTATATCTCATTCACTGCTTTATGCTATACCTTCTTTTGTTCAGATCCAATTAGTGAAAGCTTGTTCTTCATTTATCATACTTTTAGCTGATTACATTAGGCATTACAATAGTTCTCTAGCTTTCCTTGACAATGTTTGCACCATCAGTGTTACATTTATGGTTGAGGAGGCTCTTTCATCTTAACCCTCTATTCCAATCAGTTCAGGGGGAAAAAGTACATACGACTACTCTTGTTCAGTCGAAACTTCTTTGCTTGTTTTCTCATATCAAAAATAATTCCACCAGATGTTTTAATTAAAAAAATAATCCAAGTTCTATCAGTCCTTCCCCACTTTACCTATCTAAGTGTAAAGAATGTTTTGAAAGTTGAACACTGAAGTTAAAAAAACAGAACCCAGCATTTTGAACAGTATACAACTTTTTTCCTCTGCTTTCCCCAAAATAACAGATGGAATAAAAAAGTATTGCCCAGGATTTTCAATACCCTAAAAGGATCCATCATGACCTACGTTTTTGAAAACAGTCAGTACCATGTGAGCAACTGTATGCTCCATGGGGGTCTCAGCAGCCATTTTGTCAGGTTTTTTTCCCCAACCACCACAGTTATTTTTACTTCAGGATAATTGTTAAAGCAGTAGTTTCTCTACCACAGCACAACTAACTTTAGATGCAACTTTTTTCCAAGTTCACACACCCTCCCACCTCCACAAAGATAAATGCAATTCAATCCCATTTAATACCATTTCCTGCTATCTGTAACTTTGCATTAATACAGATGCATCCAAAAGTCTCTGAAGTCACCCATCTCCTTTTAAGTTTTGTTAATGTTCTCTTCTATATGACTGTAAAAATTTTAATCTATAAAAATCTGGAAGATCTTTTTAAATTAAGAGCACAAACCAGTTTATTTTGTTCTTGGTATTTTCCCTCTTCAGGTAAGCTTTATTTGGCTCTTGGCAGGTTGTTCAATTTTTGCCACATTCCCAGTTTATAACAGTCCTCTCTGCTGCTTCCTGTTCATAACGGCAAAGTTTTAATTCCTTGAAATGAAAATTCCTTTATGCTCTGATAGTCTAGTGACTAGTTTTATCAATTAATGATAAGTATGTCAAAATTAATATTGCTCTAACAGCACACTCAAGACATATGCCCTCGTGCTCTACAGAAACTAAGTCTGAAAGCCGTTTCATGGAAAGTTTATATGTATTTCAGTCATTGCCACCACCTCTATTCAGCACTGTAAACTCCACAAAAATTTCAGATAATTTTAAAATTAAAAAAAAAAAGAAAAAAAATTGAATATTCAACCAAAAAACCCACACCAAAATGAAACTCTAGGATAAGATTACTCACTAGCAAGTCTTACACTACCTGCATTCAAAGACAATTATTTTAAGGCTGTATACCATTCCTATCTGAACACCAGTGAAAATGCCTGCTTGAGTCATTTATGCATATCACTGGATAGGGAATAAATGAGAACCTATCACTAAAGATATCACTGAATTGCTAGATACGTTGTGACAGTTTTCTTTCTCTCCTTAAATATTTAGTGAGCTAACTGAAGGAACTCTGCCTCAGTTCAATTTCAGTCCTGTTTTCAACCAATATGCCAGAAAGCCAAAAAGATGTAACAGACATATTGGAATGCCTTCTTTTACAGTTATTTTTGTAACAATGAATTCATATTAAGTGTATCCGGCTACCCAGTTTTCAGCAAGTAGCCATAGTGATGAAGTAATCTATACACCTGTAACCTATATAGCTACAGGCAATGTAATTAGGGGCTATTACTATATCTCAAAGGTTACTCCAAGTTCTAAACAGAAAATTTATCTACTCCAATTAGTGCTATTTATAAACACATTAATAAAAAAAAAATATTTTTGTAAACCACCCCTACCTGCTCTAGTCACTTAAAACCACATCCCATTGGATGGGCAACTAGTTCAACTACATGCCTTGACATTTATTCCTGTCTTTGGTTCTGTGACCATCATCATCAGGGTAGCTGCCTACCATATTCGTTGTCTTTGCAATACAGGTCATGGAGTGAGAGTTGCTCTGCCAAGCACAAAATCAAAAGAATACTAACAACAGCATCCCACCACTAAACAAATAGGTCTCTCCTAGCTCCTTGAGGACAGAGGATCCTTTGGCAGGTTGCATCAGCTCCCAAGTTTGACTTCAGAGTGTTTGAGATTTCACTATGACTGGTACAACCAAGAAGGCAGCTGTTGATGGAAACTGAATACAATTATGGGCAAATATGGTTGGTTACTTTATAGTAAGTAACAGAGTCAAAAAATTCGGCCTCTGGACTCACCTATCAAGACCATCCAAACTGGCAATCACACATATCATTGCAACAGGCCAAGCCATTCCCACAGTGAATACCTGGAGGTATCCAAGTCATTATGACAGGCAACACTAGCTACACTATTTCCAGTGCAAGCACACCAGGTAGTGATTAAAGGGATGTATGGTAGACATAAACAATGTGTATAATTAGACAAAAAAAACTACCTTAGACTTACGACCACTTCCTTATTTTAAGCATACGGAAGAGTGTTTCAAGTAGCCTGCCTCTCATTTTCTTTAAATACTTGGAGCTTCAATGCACACAGCTACTGTTTAACCTTGCACAGATCAGTTCGATCGGTCTTTAAGGATCCAAAGAGCTAAGCAGACACTATGTCTGTCACCCTTACAGTATTTGTTCGTTTCATCTCTTGTTCATGAACTCACAATGTCAGCATCCCATTTAACACACTTAATATTAGCTTTATGAACTGTCATAAGTATATTAATGCATTTCTGAGACACCAGCTTGGATTTCCTTTCTCTTCTGAACTATTACAAATTAAAGACCCTATTAGTCTTTTAAAGCTAAGACAGCACTGTAGATTGAAGCAGCACAGACATATTTTCAATTTCCTCTTTGTAATGCACTATTTGTACTCCCTTCCCTAAGGTCATGAGTTATACTTTTTCATGTCATTCTTACTCCCTCATTATGTTCTTCAATCTTAGTTTTTACTTACTGTTTTCAGATCTTTTCTTAGTCTCCAGCTCATAGAGTCCACACAATAAACAGACACACTAGAGAGAAGACCATTTTCTCAAGTCTATTATGGACTGGTGAAAGAACATGTTTTCTTTTTTTTAAACAGCTTTTTAAGTCTATTTTCAGGATGAATTCACACCAGTGAAGAAGGCTATGCAGTGCTGCTAAACAGTCAATCCATTTATCCTAACAGCAGATACCATACACGTAAGATGGAATTCAAGTACCCATCAGTATGCTTCAGTTTTACTAGAGGAATCATAGGTCATACAGAGAAGTTTGTATTCATATTCATGTAACCCTTGGTTTCCTAAAGAAATAGAACTTATCATGATGCCTGAAATCTCCCCATTAAGAATTTCATTTCAGTCCTTTGAGCACCCACAGGCTACTAAACTCTACCAGTTATGGCTACCAGTTGAAATCCAGATCAAGTATACTTTCCATTCACCTCAAAGAAAATAATTACCTGGCATAAAAATCCTTCAGTAGAGCATTCCAGAAAGTCCCATTTCAGTCCCCTGCTCTATCTACAGCCTATTCACATGAACTGAGCTAGTCACGTAGTATTAGAACCACAAAGGAACTCTGACAAATACACTGTCAAGGTCCGAAACTCCCAATAGTTCTCACCTTTCACTTAACTCTGGAAACACCAAAGTTCTAACTACTTTCAGATTTCACCAACCATGCTTCAGTTTTTCCAAAGTTGAGTTACTCAGAAGTCCTGTCCTGCATACAATACACTTTTTTTTCCCCTGATATCTTGCCTGAGTGACTTCTTTTATTAAATCATAAACAGGGTTTTAACTCCCAGATTGCAACAAACTATCCTGGGACATGGGATTATCCCTAGCCATTTCTCCTGTACCAGCACTTGCAGGAAAGGAATAATACTGTATTCTCTCTAGTCAACAAGGATACATGACTACATTTGCTGTTATATCACAAAAGAAATTATCCCCCATTCTTGCCATGAATGATTTCAATTATTTCTAAAATAGAGACTACAAGGACCTGAAAATGGGCAAGTAGCTAAACAAGTACCTTACTTGTCTGGAAAGCCATTTTACCACCTTCCTGCCATGCTGCTGAATATTCAAGGCACCTCAATATCTGAATCAAATTGAACAGCTCCAGTAGGCCTGTTCAGCACACCTGGTAGGCAAGGGCATTTGTCTGGGAAGTGGGAAGCAATGAGCTGGATTCACCAGGCACGCAAAAAATCTATACAAAGTTCTACATCATCTCCTAAGATCCACTTTTCATTGCCTTTTTTGTGTACATTAGCAAAATTATTTCAGTTTCACTGCCACTCAGATTTGATGTACATATCTATGTGCAAATGTATCTAGCTTAATCCACACAAAGAAGAATCCACACAAGCAAAACATAGAAGAGTTCACGGAAAAAAATATGCTAAATACTTGTCTAATCCTCTCTCCAACTTGGTATCATCACTCTGTTCAAGCACATAGAGGAAAAGGACATACAGAAAGATACTTCAGAATTGCCAACATGCTTACCACAATAATCAACAAGCCTGTATAACAGCTGCAAGTCTTGCTGAATTACTAAGAACCCCATTTACCATTTAAATTCAAGTAGTACTTACAGCGTTGGCATCAACATCACTGTGTATGGCAACTGTTTTAATCCCCATCTTCTTACACGTTTTGATGACCTATCATAAAAGAAGTGACAATAATCAATATTTAAAATACCAAAAATTTAAGAATTAACTACAAGAAAAGAAAAAATTAAAAGACTACATACTTACTCGGCATGCAATCTCTCCTCTGTTGGCAATAAGAAGTTTTTCAAAAGTCTGAAGAGAAAAGAACAATAAGAATCTTGAGATATGAACAGAACACAAGTTTTTCTCCCTCCAGAAACACGTATTCTTTCCTTCTCCACTTCCACTAAAACCATGGTTTATCCATGAGCTTGAAATTCTTAGATCATGTACTTTTAAAAGAGTTCTGCTGATTTAACAGTGATGATATAACAAACAGTATGCTTTACCAGATCTACCCAGCACACACACAGGTTCAGAAGAAAAACGATTTGACTATCCACACCAGCATTCTTTGGCTCTCCTTACCATGCTCTGTGCTGAAACTAGAACCCTACAACAGCTCTAGGAACCAGTCAAGTCCAGGGAAGATGTGCAGGCAGGTATGCTGCCTGGCATCACCACAGGCACATACTGGCAGTATGCAGATACAGTGCTGGTAGGTACAGTGGTCAGTGCCCCTAACCAGCTGTTAGATCATAGATGACCTGTAATACAATACTCACCTGTTACAGGAGATCTTTAAAAGACATTCCCACCATAAGGAAGAGAACCTCCTCTCTATCTTGGGCATGGGCACGCTGTCCAGGCACTGCCGCTGAGTTGTATCAGCCTAGCCCCTACTCCTACCTGAGCCTCAGGTGAGGAACCTGGCAAAATCCTTCACTGCCATCAGGACACTGTTACACATTCAATACTAAATAGCAACCATAGTGCAACAGAGAGGCAAATCAAATTTAGTACACCCCTTAGTACTCACTGTTACCTTTCACACTGGGGTGCACTTAGTGCTTCAATACTTCTATCATGGCTGTAAAAAGGGGATAACAAGTTGTCAGAAGTCAGTACGCCTCAGACCTCAGGCAAAACCTTCCCATTAAGATAACAGTGGTGCAAGAGCACAGCTGCTCAGCCTAAAGATCTCACTGCTGGGAGCAAAAATTATTCTTGTTGCCGACTTTGCTACTAAATACACAGGTGCACTTTGATACTGCACCTGCTTTGTTGTAAATACAGACTGCCACTGAAAGGGACAGTCCTGCTTTACATACTTATCGCCACTGCTTTCCATGCACCAGACCTAGCAGGGATGCAGCTCCAGGACATGGCACCAAGTTTAACACAGTAACTGAACTGTCTTACTCTGCTTCCCATGCTCTAAATTAAAAAGAACAGGACAGAGAACCAGCAGGACCTCTCCCTTTCAGGGGCAGCCTGCAATCATACCACATCAGGTTGATCCAACTATACCCTAAGACATTCAACAGCTCTTCTCCTCCCTCTGTAAGAAACAGCTGGTTTTCTTACAGACTGGGGGGAAAGGAAGTATTGCCACTGCAACAATCAACACTTTGTTAGCCACACAGTCATTAGTTAATTTGAGGAGCGGACAACAGGTGTTAGAGGAGAGGAAGGAACACCATAAAACCCCAACAGGAACTGCTACTGACAGACTAGAACATATATTGTTTGTTCTCCTACTCCAAACAGACAAACTCAAGGAGCCCTTGACCAAATTTACTTTTTCAAAGTCAGGGCTGAGCTGACATCACATGACCAGTTTAAAAATACTACCACGTGATAACACCATACAGAAATTAAGGGACCAGAAACTCTCCAGGTAACAGCTGCAGCAAGCTTATACAGTAACTTCAGCCAGATCTGCTGAACAACACTGCCTGGGACACAGGCACACCACGCTCAAAAGATGATCTTACACACTCTTAAGCAAGCTCAGTTATCATCAGAGGTACAAATACTGTAAGAACACCATAGGAGCCAGCAATTTGTTAGGAGAGGTTTTTTAGCTGGGGATCTGATCTAAAAAAGTTACCAACATACTCATACCAATTGTTCCTGAATCTAAATTTAAGCATTCTAGGTACCTAAAGATTTTTAGGCATACAGACTTGAGGGGCAACTAAAAAAAATACTTCCAAATACTTGGCATTGAAAAGTTTATTGAATTGAATACTCCATTCAACTTAGTTCTTGGTATGTAAGAGTTGATTTATTAATCAGCTGTGGTCACAATGCAAGAAGACTTTCAGTATCAAGATGTTAAGAATATGTGACATTCATTTTAGTTTCCAATTCTGCAATAAAGACACTGAGAGACCTTGCTCCTGCTGTTAAGAGTCTAGTCTCAAGTCCAGCACAGTAAGAAGAAATTAAAAACCACATACTGCTTTGAAGTAACATTTTTTTATGTCATTTCCACTAATTAGCTTGAAAAAGTTTCACATGAAAGTCTCATCACTACAAAAACATTAGAAGGGGCAGTGAATGAAAAAAGCAGAAAAGAGCTTAAACCATCTGTAGTAGCCACTGGTTGAAATGCCAGTCCTAGTTAAGAGAAACCAAATACCCAATTACATTGTCTAAACATAACTATGCATTTAGAAAAGGACGGAGACCTTGATTAAGCAAGGACTTGAAAGAAAAAATATATTTTCTGAAGATATCTATAAAGCCACACTGCTTTTCTCTGTTTCTTAGTACTATTTTACTCATGATTAATTGCTTCTACACTGATATATCAGGGCTTCTATATCAGTAGAATATCAGTCCTGAATTGCTATCATCTTTGCCCTTGAATACTAGTGTACCTTCAGTCACATTATTTTTCCAAGTGCATTGCTTCATAGGCCATGCCAAGACAATCTTCCACAAGGAAAGTTTTTCTTGGCTTGTAACTGTAAATTGAGATTGCTACTGCACAAGCCCCCAAGATGAGGATTTGCTATTCTCTGCAGGCCTTAAAGGCCCATCTTTATCCAAGCTCTGAAGTTCCCGCCCCCACGCCAGATCATCTAACAGTCATGCTGCCACTATTACATACTTCTTTTCCACAAAAAGCTTTTGGCTAGTCTAGCTCCAAGATGTTTTAACAGGCCCATTACCACCCACAACCGTGCAAAACATTAACTGTTGTTTCATAATAATAACAGGCTCAGGCCAGTATGCAACTTTTCCAAGCTCTAAATCACTTATTCAATCTTTTGGTATACACTTGATGTAGTATCCAATCTTTGACAAGTATCCTGCAAAAGTAACTTCCCTTTAAAAAAAGGAAGAAAACCATGCTATTAAATCAGTGATGGGTTATAATAGGAGAACTGCCACTGTCAGTAGCAGCATAAGGTAGAGGGCAGCTTAAAACAACTACCAGTAGTACAGTAAAACGTCAAAGAAAACATGCACCATACTACTTACCTTTTCGTTTGGATCATACACGGACGAATAGAGTTTATGTGAGGTTATAAGGCACCATCTTGAACACAGCGTTTCACACTACAGAAGAAAGAGGGAGTTAAACCATTTTCTCCTGTTACAGCATGCCATTAAAAACATTTCACACACTGACATCTCGAGGAAACTTCCATATCCCTTTCACTCCCTCAGCAAGTGGATGAAAGCTCATACAGAACCGCTGTTCCCCAAGCACACACCCACAAACAGCAACCAGAAACAATTCAGAAGTTCTAGATATGAAGTCATTAGCTTAGGTATAAGCAGAGCCACACTTGACCACCCACTTGGAAACAAAAAGACTGTAGAAAGCCTCGACACTAAATATTGCCTAGCAGGAAGCATGAAACAGCAGAGACTGGCAACTGCCAGAACTCAGAATCTGTCAATTCAGTCTGAAAAAACTGTTTTCAAGAGCTGCATAAATCTAAGTAGTACAAAGTAAAGGACATCCTGTGAGAAGGCTCTCCTGGGTTTTTTGGGGAAAAAATATGAATATGGACTACATTTGAAGACAAAAAATAAGGAAGCGTATGTTCGCATAAAGAGGTTAATTAGAGAATTCACTTACACCTTTCACAAGAGTAGTGAACTTAAGATAATTGAAAATTTGTTAACATTTTAGGTTTCCTGAAAGCTTATACTGATTTGGAAGTATCAGGGGCTGGCAGTAACTGGAGTGAGAACACTTCCTACACAGCCCTCTGGCTGATAAAGTTTGAAAACAATTCTTATATTGCATCACAGAAAGCAGAAACCAGCCCAGGATTGAGAAGGCCATCACATTTGTAATGCAGCTGATACTATAATCTTATAAAGGAAAAAAAATATTTCAATAAAAGTACTGTAATACAGAACTAAAGGAAGCCTTAGAGCATATCATCTCATGCCAGCTCCAACCAAACCTCATGAGCAGAAAGCTACTATAGTTTCACAAACCATTTAGATGCCATTCACTAGTGGCAGACATAGCATACATTGTTCCCAGATAATCCAGCTGTGCTTAATTCTTCCAGAATGATTCATATATATTAATTATTCTGAAACTAGGGAAAAAAATATCAATTGAAAGCAACTGTTCCACCCTGTTTCACATGCTGGGCTCTTTCCCCTTCACTTTTTTTGTTTCATTGGGGGTTTTTTGCTTCTTTCATTTTTCTCACTTTACTCCTCAAAAATAAAATCCAGAACAAACTGAAACGCAAATCAATTGATACACTAGAATCAAAACAGCCAGCGGTTGATTGTTTTGGGTTTTTTTCTTGCAGAGGTATATTATTCTTATCTGAGGATGTGACAGTACAAGCCTTTTCAAGCATTAAAGGGATGAAGTTAAGGGCACAATTCTGGCAGCTGCAATCACAACTACCAGCTGGTCTTCATCACAAGTTTACAGAGCGACTGTTACATCTTCAGTGACTGTATTCTGACCTAGACACTGTCAGAGGGAAGAGGAAAGACAGCTACAGCAGTAGCAGCAGAGTACACTCTCTTGCTCCAGAGTACACAGAGTCAAGCAAATTGAGTCCCTCTCCTCTGAAACACTATTGACAGAAGTGCTTGAGGGATCGCAAATAGTCTACAGAAGGTCATACGGGACCCACACAAAAAGTCTCCACCGAGTTAATGTTATTCATTGGAGAAAGTGCTTGTTAAGGGTCAGTGGGGCTAATCTAAATACTTGCAGTTAGCAGGGGAAAAGGGGGCAACCAAGCAAGGGAGGAAAAGCTTCTGAACTTCCTTGTAAACACCTTTTATACAAAACTAGTTTTGAATGCTTATGAGAAACCAGAAGAGCCATGCAGAGATGAAGACTGGAAGGAAAGGCTATGATGGGAAAAATCAGTTAGAATTAAGCTGTAGCATCTTAGCCATCTCAAAAAAGCCTTGTTGAAACTTTTTATATAGAAACGATAAAGTCACCAAGCAATTAAAAAAAAAAAAAAAAATCGGAAAAACTTTTAAACCACACTGACGTTTGTTTTTACACTACAGAATTGGACCGATTTCACATAAAAATCTTGTAATAACCTAACCTAATTATGTACCTATGTTTAAAAATTTAACTGCCTCCTCTCTCTCTCTCACACACACACACACGAGCACGTGCAAATCACTTAAAAAAACAGGTTTAGCCCTGAATCAGATACACGTGGGTTAACTTGCTAAAACAAATCAAGCATATTGCTCAACTCAGATGGGCAGTTCCAACTCTAATTCACAGCTCTGGAAAAAAGGCATTCCGTATGTATCTGTACTAATATACACTAAGGTTTAAGAGCTTGCTTAATTAAGAAACCACTTCAAGACAAGTCTCTTTAGAGGTCTGCTCCCAGCCACTATGAGCAATTGAATAATTACTTAAAAATAAACAAGCATGTTGTAAATAATGCACATCTAAGACCACAAAGGAACACTGCTAAATTGCCACCTCCAAATCCACAGCTATTCAGGTGTCATCACCTACCCCCTGTTCCAAAGTTCCTGCCATAGGTAGGTTCATTAAAAGCTACACCAAAACCCCCAAAGAACTCTCAAACCATCAACCCAGCAAACCCAATCTAACACTCAACCTTCATCCTAAACTGGCTGCCTCCACAAAACCACATATGCCCTAGGTATTACACCCTACTTAGAAATTTCCTCAGAACACAGCTCAGACAGCTCAGCTTGACCTAGTAACTTTTTTGTATCCTGCAAAACTAGGAGAGGGCAATAAAGTCATTGGGTATAACCTATTTTTGTCATGACTTGTTACTTCAATTTGATAAAACTTTTGACTCTTGAAAGCCCAAGAACACAGACTATTCATTTATGAGAGTTCAACTCAGGACTTCTGCATTTGGCTTGGAGTTTCCCACCTCTAATTAATCTTCAGAAAAAGGTGTTAGTACTGTATTTTGGAAAAGCATCTTGCTTTATCTATTAATGGTGCAATAGCTAAACCGAGCTGAAACCTGAGTAGCTGTAACAGTTATTCTGTAACTTCATATAAAAAATGCAAACTACACAGTAACTTGTAGAACAGTAAACCCATAGCACACTGCCACTTTGAGACCTCACGGAGAACCTGCCTCCCCTCAGGCACCCAGTGCGGCCCTAGGAAACCTCTTCAGGTGGTTTAAGGACACGGCATACAACAGCAAAATAGATAATTAACTCGTTATTTAGATATGGCTTACCCGCGTGTTTTTAAAGGTTTACACGCCCTCACTGAGGAAGGAAATTTCCTTGCCATACTGGTCAGCTTGTAAATAACTCATTGATACTGAGCTTTACAGGCAGAAAAAGGTCCCAGTGTTGAAACAGAGGCACAGAATTCCACATTTCAGGCAGGAAAAGCATCATATATCAATATTTGCTCTAAGAAGCCTAGTATGGGATGGAATGTATATTTTAGAATTACTAGAAAACACAGTAAGCAATACCCTATAATAACAGCCAAACTAGCACACCTATTTTCACTAAACTTAAATTCTACTTTCTTCCACTACGATTTTTGCCCTTACATTTCCAGAGATTCAGGTTTCAGACACTATGAGAACAACCCCCTTATCTTTGTGGTGTATCTACTCGTAGCCATCAGTATTGATGAGGAGTTACAAACATGAAGACAATGGAGGTTTTTTTTCATATTTTGATTACACAGCAAGTGTTCCCAAATCTTTTTTATTTCAGCTCATTTGACATCGTGATTCCCTGTCCATGGAACTCTACTGATGTATGTATAAAGCACATAGGAAGCAGATACCTCCAGGTGGCTGCAAGACTTTTAATGTATAAGGCAGAAAACGCAGCTTCCTAGTACAATATTGTACGAATCTTGTAAATGGTAAAGCAAACATAACACTTCTGTTCTTTTCTCTAAGGAAGCGCTTTCCTTTCCTTTGTACTCCCAGAGTCTTGAAGAGCCAAGCACTTGTAAGCATAAGCAGACCCCCCTGAAGCCACCTGCAAACACAGATGTAGGTTCTGTAAAGTACATTGCACTGTACATAATAGTTCTTTCCCTCTGACTGGGTTTGAGGAACACTCGTAATTCTAAGAACAGAAAATCTGTTTTTTCATATTTGCCAACACAGCACATAAACTACAAACAAGGAAACACTCACCCGCCTAAGGCTATTTTTTTAAGCTTAGTCATTCCTGTGCCCATGTAGCTTCTCCTCTGTGCCAGTCCCTGAAGTTCATACAGTCACACAGTGAACCAGACATGGGAATACAACCACCTGAGAAGACATTCACAAGGAGTGGGGAAAAATACGTTCTCAGGCAGACTTCAGTCCAGCTTATCCAAGATATTTACACAGCAGTGCTGGCACAAGTTGGAGGGAGACAGGAGTTCAAAAGGAGTAGCCTGTGATCAAGGCCAGGCAGCTGCAGAAAACTGGAAAAGTTTCTCATGCAGCAGCTTAAACAGCTCCAGTAAGGCTGGCTAGCACCTGTGAAACAGATCATGGCACTGTAACAATCAATGCACGTTTGAGGCAGACAAAATCACAAAATAATTTAAGTACGAAGTATTTCAGAACAAGAGTGCCATTTTTTACTCAGTATAGACTTTAATGATATCCATTTTTTTCCTTACAGAATCAATTTTTGCCCATAGTACATGGCATAGCATGCTTTCCCTACAAATTTTGAAAAGCTACTCCTAGAAGCAGGAAGAAAAACAGAAATCTCTACCTGTGCTATGCTTCGATAGTGCTTGCCAGTACTAAAATCTGTAGTTTACATACTAGAAACAATCACTGAACTCCAGAAGTCCATGGCTACATTTGTGTCCCCAGACTGGGGATCATTTGAAGTCCCTTCCCTCATGACAAATGATACCAACCTTGCATCACATCAGACTGATGCTTCTGTTCTCAAACAAGGGGGGAAATTTTTCCCTGGAATAACAGCATGCTAAAAATGATATCAGAAAAGAGCAAGGAGCTCCCACTGTACAGATAACTTCCATGACTTAAAAATGCTGGGTACACAGATGGAAGAGAAACTTTCCATACATTTAGTTCAGTGATTATCAGTATCACCAGTTTACCCTTGAATTCATGAAGTATTTATCTCTTTGTTCTACATTATTTTAAACATTTTGAGTCTGACAGCTCTCTCAAAAGTTTCACAACTGAAATATCAAAAGCCATCTCTCATCCTCATTCTGTAACTACAGACTTCTTTCAACATCAAATTTTCTCCCAGCTTCAGAAGTGCAAAGCACTCAAAATGAAATTTTGGGTATATTCTAAACAGAACCAGTTCCGCATAAAGCCTAAACAGAAGCAATAGGCACTAAATTAGAAACACTGCATAGAATCAAATCTGCAGCTCAGTGATTTTTTGCACCCTTCTCCTGTGGTCCTTTATCAATTCCCACATGAAAGTAGCAAAGAAAGTTAAGGACATCTCATTAGCTACTAGCCTTTGTAAAAATTTTAAGAGCTCCTAGCACACTAAAGTTTGAAGACATCAGTTATATTATTTGTCTGTGTCACCAAAACATTAGAGAATCTATGAAAGCAATTTCCATGCCAATTTGTTTTATTAGATGTTTCCAATATACTGTTGTCTTGACAGTGACTTTCATACATAGATATTAAGGGCTATAAATCACTTCAGTTCCATAAGTCACAACACTACTAGGTAGCTATAAAAACATTTTACTTTACAAAGGTGCCATTAATGTAACATTTCCATTCTGCTTACACTGGTGCAGTCAGACCACGTCCTGAGATGCCACACAGGACCCAAAGTAGGCCTTTTTCAGGGAGGCTCCAAAGGACTGACACCAAAGTCTTAGAACTATTTAGCAGAAACAACAGCAGAAGCCTTCCACACACTCATGGCTACCAAAAATAAAGTCTTCAAACAGGATAAGCCCTCTGCCAATTTCAAGTCATCATCTCTAATCAAACCATCTCTTTGCTTTCCAAGAAGCTCCTCTCGTGTACACTTTCGCAGGAAAACAGGTTTACCTTTGTATATTTCCTAAGGAAAAATATTTGCGTAAAGCATATGCTGTTTTCCTCTTTAATCCCTTCTCAAAATGCCCTGCCCACATAAACCACCTCTTCTACATGATCCCTAAAGACATGTGATGAGCTCTCTACAGTACTGCTAGGAGGTAACATTTCTAGAGAGAAACCTTTCCCACACCCTCAGGGGTACACTGGGGAAAACATTTTCTCCGAGTCACTCCTTTCTTCTTCTCTGGAACTTGCAGAGATCCCCACAAATTTTCCTTTTCAGGGAAAAAAAAAAATAATTCTTCCTACTGTAAACAATTAGAAACATTTTGCACTACTTTTCCCATATTGAAACTAGTTGTATTGTCATTCAACTGTTACACAACACTATGCGTTAATGCTGCTTGTTTTTACCTAAAATAATCTTCTTTTAACACAATCTGTAGATCTAACATAGATCTAATAAAGTAAGCGCCTCAGTGAAAGTGCCCTAACTATCTGGGGTAAAGGGGTGCGTGGGGAGAGAAGAGACAACAGTTCCACGAAGCCTGCCTCTGTTAGCCAAGATTTTCCGACTAAAGATAGCACAAAACCACCCTCTACCCCAGAGCTTTGATAAGCTCCCGTTTAACAGAGAGAGAGGGCAGAAGAAAACTGGAATCACAGAATGACAGGATCAATTGGGTTGCAAAAGATCTCCGAGATCATCGAGGCCAATCTGTGCCCGAACACCACCATGAACTAGACCACAACACGGAGTGCCACGTCCAGTCTTTTCTTAAACACCTCCAGGGACGGTGACTCCACCACCCAGAATCATCACAAACCTGCCCAGCAGCATAAAATTAATTAAAAAAAAAAAAAAACTAAATAACTAAACTCCCACCGTCTCCTGGCAACACGCCGATGCTTTACATCAAAGAACGACCTCTTGGATGCTGACAGCCCTCAGGCACAGCAGCTCTTACCGCTGCCCGGCCCCGCTGCCCCTCAGCCGGCACCCGCAGGCACCCCCGGCCGCTCCCCACCGCCCACCCGGGGCCGGAGGGGCAGCACCTCCCACCGCCCCACCCCCGGCCCCGCCGCGGCCGCACAGCGCCGGACACAGAGCTCCCCTCGCCGGGCCGGGGCTTCCCGCCCGACACAGCTGCTCGGGGGCGCTCCTCCGGGGGCCGACACCCCACACCCCTCTTCCCCCTCGCACGCAGGGTACAGCCCCCGCCCGGCGAGCCCATCCGACCCCATCCAGGGGACCCTCCGCCGCCCCGGAGCGCGGCCCCGCAGCTCAGCGCTCCCTCCCGGGCCGACCGCCGGGCGCCGCTCACCGCCGGCCGCCCCCTCCGGCCGCCCCAGCGCAGCAGCAGCACCGCCGCCGCCATGTCCGCGCGGCCGCCGCTGCCCGGCCGCCCTTTCCCCGCGCCGGCGCCGCCGGGGCCGCGCCGCGCGCAGCCAATCCCGGCGCGCGCCCGCCCGGGGCGGGGAGGGGCGCGAGGGGCCCGCCGCGCGCCGCACGTGCCCCTCCTCGGGGCTGCGCCTGCGCGCGCCGCTACGGGCGTGCCTGCGGCAGCCGCGCGCACCCGCGCCCACGCCCCCGCCGCGCTCGAGCCGAGCCCGGGCGCGCGCGGCGTGAGGGGCTGGCCCGGGGGCGGCGCCGATCCCGTGCGCCCACAGGGAACCAGGGAATATCCTGGGCTGGAAGGGACACCGCTGCTCGTCAATTTCATTCGGTGACGCCTGAACAAATAAATCACTGATTATCCCGAGTTGGAAGGGACCCACTGGGATCATCCAAGTCCAACTCCTGGCGCTGCACAAGACATCCCCAAGAATCATACCATGCGCCTGAGAGCGTTGTCCAAACGCTTCTTGAACTCTGACAGGCTTGGTGACCGCTTCCCTGGGGAGTTTGTTCCAGCGCTCAACAACCCTCTGGGTGAAAAACCTTTTCCTAATATGCAATCTAAACCTCTCAACACAGCTTCGTGCCATTCCCTCACGTATGGGGCTGCCTGTGCGCCTGCCAGGAGCCACAGCAGTACAGGGAGGGGATCCATCCACCCACTGGACTTCCCTGGAATGAGGGTGAAAAGTGCAACTGTGCCAGATACCTGATCCAAGCTCTTGCCCCATGGAATAGAAGCAAGGTCGGAACGAGAGGGGTGCTGCTAGTCTTCTGCTCCCTGGCACAGAGTACTCCAAGTCAGCCTCTTCTAAACTGACCTGTGCAGCTGAGTGTGGGTTCTCCACTGCCAGTGTCCTGGATCCCAGCTGATAGATGTGACAGAGTACTGCCAATCCCCAAGTAAACTGTCATCCCAGGAAATGCTATAAAAGTGTTCTACTATGGTAAGAGTGCCTAGGAAGCATCACTGTTACCATCTCAGACTTCTGTTGAAATCCAACAGAGGAAGAAGCTGCCCACAACACAGAAGTGTAAAAAAGACACAATCCAAGATGTTCAAAGCAGTGTTCACAAAGCATAACAGTTTTTTCTTTTAAATAGTGTTATTTCCAATATTTGGTTTTTTCCTACAATGGTAATGTGCGAAATGAGGGTAGACCTGAGCCTCCTCTTTATCCTTGCTCCAGCAGCAGATCAAGACTACATTTTCTGAAGCTAAAAGGCAGTAAGTAAAGGAAAGGGAGTAGGTCATACGCAGTTTTCAGTTCATCCAAGACATGCTTTGTGACAAGCTCCCAAGAGAGCTAAAAGACAGAAAAAAAATCCATAAGGAAAATTTATATAGGCAATACACATAGTTATATTAGGAATAAATACCTCAGACTTTAGACACAAGCTAGGTCCTCAAGCAGGTAAGAAGGCAGTTCCTTTACAGCCAGAAGACTGTGTAACTGCAGTACACCCATTGTTAGAAAGGTTTTACCAGATTACATCACCCCCTCAATTCACACATTATTACATCAACCCTTACATTTTTATACCATGCTTTTATAATCCTCAGTAAATGCTCTCCGGCTGTACGTACAATCACATTCTGCAATGAGAGCCAGGATGTCCCAGAATAACTGGCACGTTCCCATGCTGCAGGGAGGCACCAGAGGCGTCAAGAAACTGCTGGGCAAGTGGGTTCACCCAAACATGGATATTTTCATCAGGCTCTGAGCTGCATGGTCACCCCAGCAAAACTCAAATTCCTTGCATTTACACATAGTATTGAAAAATTTGGCCTAGTGTTATTGTTTGGCATTATTTTTTAAACCTCTTGTATCAGTATTTACATTCAAACTGAAAAGAGGTGAAGGCTCTTCAAAAAAGAACACTGGTATCTGAAGGGAGGGTGTCAAGAGGATGGAGCCAGGCTCTTCTCAGTGGTGCTGAGCAATAAGATGAGGGGCAAAAGGCAGAAGCTGAAACTCAGTTCCACCTGAACATGAGAAAGAACTTCTTTACTCTGAGGGTGACTGAGCACTGGAACAGGATGCCCAGAGAGGTTGTGGAGTCTCCTTCCCAGGAGATATTTGAAAGCCATCTGGAAACAATCCTGAGTAACATACTCTAGGGTTCCCTACTTAAGCAAGGAGGTTGGACTAGAAGACATCCAGTGGTCCCTTCCAACCTTAACCATTCCATGATCTCTGCTGCATACCAAGGATACGTGAAATAACTTCTCTCCCTTTCCTCCCACGTGACTAGCAAAAATAAAATCAGCATTGCTTCCCCTCTGTTGCATGCTTATGCATTTGCTCTGCTCTGTGAACAGTGCCTACAACTGCACAGGGGGGAACAATGCAAGAAAACTGGACTTAGTATGTCTAGAGGAGGTCACCGTATTTTCAACTGAAAGTCACAAGCAGACACTGCAGAGGTTTTTCAATACATGTGGAGAGCCTTGAAAGTAAAAGAGACCAAGAGCAGAAGGGAGGTATTGACCACATTGTCCTTCACCACAGGCTCTGCGTTAGATAGATGCACAAAGATACACACCACAACATCATGTTATTGCATTAGAACAATATCCTGAGGCACTTGACGTCAGTTCCTCCTGCATGCATAAAGCAAACAGTCACATGGCATCTACTGGGGTGTTTTCTTTTCCTCTACAGAGGAGATTCTGTTTGCTGGCCCCAGTTGAGGGACCGGCAGCCACCTACAGAGATGCATCAAAGGAGGCCCCCCACAGCTGCAAAGGGAAACTGGCTGGAATTACACACAGACACCGCCAGCTGGGTGCATAAAGAAGTTGATGAGAAATGGCCTAATGCAAGCCTGTTTCGAAGTGAAGCTAAGGCTCCTTACGAATGGAAAGGAGTGGGGGGAGGAAAAAAAAATCTCAAGAAGGCTAATCTTATTCCATTTGCACATCAAGTTTTCTGCTTTCAGTATGATTTGATCAGTATGACTGACAGATTTCTAGTAACAGTCTCTTTGCCTATTCTAATTTGAAATGAATAATGCACACAAAATATAAAATTTTGTTTCTGTAAGAAAAGGAAGATATTTAATGGATCAACATTATACACAATTAACAATGAACATCTGAAAAAAAAAGGGCTTAACATACATCACTATTGCAAAAGAAATTGTAAATACACAAAAATCAAATCGCAAAAATAAAATATCTAGAATAATTAAAGGATATACAAGTTTGGATAAAAACAAAGACCCTAGTCCTGCGTGTCTGTAAGCACATTTGTAATGCCATAACTCTCCCATCTCAGTTATTAAAGCTATTAACATGCATAAAGTAAAGCAGGTTTATAAGATACTGGAATACATTGCAACTTATTCTCTCATTATTTTGAGGGGATCCTGGGGAACTGCGGCTTTCAGTGCTGAAAATCATCGTGATCCTTTCTTTAGAGCAGAAAGTTACCTTCGTCTTCTAACATAACCCCAAACTCAAGACAGGAATCATAAATTATTGTATTGTTACCTAAAGTTTAAGCTGTAACCCGGGGAAAAAACTGGAGTAATTGTAATACTTCATCTAATAAGGAAGATATTGTATCAGGTTTATAGAACATGAAATGCTTTATGCACAAAAGCCTGTGCCTGAAGAACTCAAAGCTAGAAAAATTCTTTGAAGTATCACTTATATATTCTGTAAACAGCCTTTTCTCCTATCAACATTCTGCTCAGTGCACTGCAAGAGATGGAAATTCAGCCTTAGAGTCAGACAAGTCAATATCTCCCTACATCTCTCTGCTATGTACCTACCGAAAAACCTTGACTGTGAGGAGAGATCCTTCATGCCAGACTCATCATCATTCAACTTACCCGGCCATCAGGTCTCCTCAGGAAAGTCCTGAATCTCCCTGGCCTCCGAAGCTTCTCAGGGGCAACAAAAGCACCCCTGGCCCATTCTTAGAGGTGCCTGACTTCATTCTATACCAGGCCTCAGGGGTGGCTTAATCCCCAAGCCAGGCTGCCTTGCTCTGTGACATTGTGATCCCCTTGGCCCCCAGAGGCAACCTGGCCTTATGCAACCACATAGTTGAAGAGGCTGCTTTGGGACAGCCTGGATCACCCCAGCTATGAGGGTTGCTTAGATGGGGCTTAGAATACCAGAGTCCATATGATTTCTCATAAGTGCCATCTCAGCTACTCTGACTCCCAGCCTCCAGTGCTCCCCAACAACATAGCTTAAAGCAAGGATGAAGGCTCAGGCCTG